TAAACTTCAGTAAATATTTAGTATCAAAAATTTTGATACCCTTGGAGAAATGAAGCCTTAAAATTTTTACTGCAATTTCACAAAATTGAAAATATTTCAAAAACGGTAAGTATAATAAATCTTAATCAAATTTACCTTTATTTTAATCGTAGAAACTAAAAATGTAATAATATACAGGGTGTTCCATTTAAAAAAATACAACTTTGATATTTTTTACTTATTTGGGACACTCTGTATCTTGTAAAATTATTTTTAAATTGTACCTCTAATAGTCCTTCATCGAACTCAAAACTTACAATTTGTAAAAATCTCATCGTTTAGCTACAATACTCCGTGTCGTATGTGGTGAACAACCCTGTATATTTAAGTCACCCTGTATGTAATAATACAGGGTGGTGTCTCTCATACGACGCGGTGACTCCTAGGAAAATGGTAGTTTGTATTTTGTATTAAAATGAAATGAAAAGCATTTTAGAAAAATATATACCGAAGGTCTACAGGGTGCCCTCACCAAAACAGCATCAAAGTTCTTTTTTTGTAATGGAACACCCTATATATTAAATAACTTTGGATTCTAGGAAAAAAATAAAGGTGAGTTTCATTAAAAAAGCATATTATGACTAAAATGTAAGGTTTTTGGTATATTTCATGTTTTGTGAAAATAAAGAATAAACTTTAATACATACATATACATAAATAAACTTTAAATTCCACCAACAGCCATCTATTATTTATCCTCTATAGCCAAATATTTAGTTAAAATAACCATTGTACGTTTGGTTTAGTCGAAGTAAAAATTGACCCGAAAAGTTATACAGAGTGAGACAAAAGTAATATTGAACACTGGTCACATTTAAAAGCAAGTTACTCTTTTATTTTGCATGGAGCACCCCGTATATTATTCGAATATTCAATGGAGAATGAATACCTCTTTAAATTATTATAAAAGCTTGCTTATAAATGCTCTTAATTAGCATAGCTTAATATGCTTACAAAATTTCCTTTCAATACAACCTAACTTTCAATCACCTAACCCTGTATGTAAAATATACGCCAGCATATTGTATAAAAAATGTGGATGAATTATAAAATAGAAAAAATTATAAAACTTGAGCTTTACCGAAATAGTAGGCCACTTTATATATACGGATAAAATATTGTATCCCATAATAACGAGTGAGCCTTATATAAGCGCAAATTTTTCTAGGGGTGGTATACAGGGTCCAGCACATAGACTTAAAATAAAATATAGACTACACTATTTACATCTCAACGCGGACAAACAACCTTTTTTGTACACATGTTTACTTCTGGGTACAGTCGACCGAGCCTTCCTCATTCAACCTATGTTGTCACGTCTTTAATATTATCAATATTTTTTTTCATGTTATACACATATATTGTGATATTAATACTACAGTTTAATAAAGTAGGTTTTAATATTCCATAGGTGTATTAAATAGTCCTTATACTACTAAATTATAAGTTGGATACTGTTTAAAAAGGATAAGTTCTTTACAATATGACAACACCGATTAGAGGCGAGGGAGCCTATTCATTCATTTATTACCTTGTAGTACGCGTCGCACGTGTGCGGTAAAGCTTTGTTGCCGCTATGTTCCCGGCTGTATTAACGCATTTTCTTAGCTTGTAGTCCTTAAGTGTTTATTTTATTGACTTTTTCTGTTCAAGAACTATAAAATATGGTTCGCCAGTGCCAAATTTGCAAGAAAAATTTGACTTAAATAATTCATTTAAGTCTTGAAACTCTCAATTTACCCATTAGGAGTCAATGGCGTTGTTGTAGAAAGGCGCTTATTTAGATAATATTTTAGTAAAATGTAAAATCTGAATTTTTTCTCTTACATTACGTTGTTTACTTACTTACATTGTAACAGAATCATAATTATAACCCTGTTAATAATTAATAATGTTTTTATTAAAAATATATTCCGGTTTATTCTAAAATTATCTTTAGAATCTAAAATAACATACTAGAATTTTAAAATGATATTACATTATGAAACAATATTTTTTAATATACCGGGTCGTCTCAAAAGTGGCTCACCCCTATAACTTTTTTTATTTTTTCAGATAAAAAACACAGATTTGTATGTTAGTAGGTATATGACATAAATTAGGATTTATTGACGTATTCAATTGTTTTTGGTCTCTTCCTGTTTCACCGATATGATTACATCTTGATTTTTAAAGGCACCCTCGGTATATTGCTACTTTATTCGATAGAAAATGACACTCTGAATAGAATGACATATCATATGTCAACTTTTGACATTGTCGCTTAAAAACAAATCGTATTTTAAATTTCAATCCGGGGTGCCATGGTGTTGTTAAAAACACTAAGTTTTAATCAAGGAGCCTTGGAAAAATAATTTTGATCGTCTAATAGGTTTCGTGTCTTGTCTAGGCCGGTTAAAAGATGTACAAATCGTATTTTTAATCATACATATGTCAATTTTTTCAAATGGAACAAGGGTGACTCATTAGCATATTTGGAAAAAGCATTTTTTTATGAATATATTGATACCACACACTTGGTATTTCGAGTCAAATTGTCGTTATGAACCGCGTGTTACAATTACAATTACACCATATGCGAAAATGTCAAAAATGGACATATGATATGTCATTCTATTCAGAGTGTCATTTTCTATCGAATAAAGTAGAAATATACCGAGGGTGCCGTTTAAAATTTAAAAGTTATAGTCATTTCCGGTGAAACAGGAATTGACCAAAAACAATTGAATGCGTCAATCAATCCTAATTTATTTCATATACTAACATACTAAATCTTGTTTTTTTATTTGAAAATATAAAAAAATTATGGGGGATGAGCCACTTTTGAGACGCACCCGGTATAATAAAGACAGCACCAAGAGTCGTCAGGGAACGACCGTTATGACAGAGACAACCTATCTATCGCTCGTGTCGCACTCGTTATAACCTAAAACAATAACACAACAATAACAAGACAGTGTCTGACCGCATGTTCCAGCTATTTATGAATGAGATGCTCAGTCTATATTTTATTTTAAGTCTATGGTCCAGCAAATGTGCGTCGGGCATCTGTAGCTCCTAGAATAAACAACTTGGAAATTTTGTTTAAGTGCAAACCTAAATTATATACCTACTAGGATGTATTCCAGGAAAATATTTTAACTTGTATAGGGTGACTCAAAAAAGTGTGAGTGGATCGGGATGATTTTTTTTAAATGGAACACCCTGTATATTATTGCATTTTTGGCTTCCTTTCAGACCACTTTACATAATCCTAAGACATGAGTAAATATGTTTCGATAATTTCAGAGATATTAATAAATAAATAAAAATTATATATTTTTCAGCCATTCGATTCTTAAAAAAAAATATTAATAATACAAGAACTGTTCTGAAATCAAAACTATATTAGATATTTACTTTAGATGGTCTATTCTTACTTTGCTATAAATATGGAAATCGTAAATCATACATGATGTTTCAAAATTCTACGCCAAACTTTCTAAAGTATAAAATAATTTTTCTTCGTTTTTTTTAATGGAGCGATTGGAATTATTTTTCCAATAGACGGAGAATTAAAAAATGAACATTTTTTGTGTTTAGAGTATTTCAAAATTTTTAACGGTTTCGCAGATATTCCCGGTTTTGTATTTCATATGGCATTTTCCACAGTAAATTTTCATCAAAGCCACCTAATGATTTTTCTCTCGTATTTTACCATTACAAAAAACGAAATAATACCGAGTGTATCCGGAAAACTATTAAAAATCTCGAAATATTTTAAATACAAAAAATGTTCATTTTTTAATTCTCCATCTAATAAAAAAATGATATACAGGGTATCCCATTTAAAAAAAAACGAAGAAAAATTATTTTATATTTTTGAAAGTTTAGCGTAAAATTTTGAACATCCTGTATGATTTACGATTACCATATTTATAGCAAAGTAAGAACAGACCATCTAAAGTAAATATCTAATATAGTTTTGATTTCAGAACAGTTCTTGTATTTTTAATATTTTTTTTAAGGAGGGTTGGAAAATATATATTTTTGATTTATTTTTTAATATCTCTGAAACTATCGAAATAGATTTACTCATATCTTAGGATTATGTAAAGTGATCTGAAAGGAAGCCAAAAATGCAATAATATACAGGGTCTTCCATTTAAAAAAAATAATCCAGATCCACTCATACTTTTTTGACCCACCCTATAGAAGTTAAAATATTTTCCGGAAATACATCCTGGTACATACTTTAGATTTGCACTTACAGATGCCCGACGCACTATTGGGGGACCCTGTATTTCGACTACAGAAACACGTCTATGATGTTTTTCTCATGATTTTTTTTTTTAATTTGGAATTTTTTAAAAAAATATTTGGAAATATTTTTGATGTTTAGTTAAAAAACACAATATCCTCATAATATGGCAACATAGGTAGTAGGTTAAATTTACAAGAAAGAAACCCCAGAAAAAATCCAGCGGTTCTCAAAATGTAAGCAAAAAATAATTTTTTTAAATTTTCAAAAAAAATATCTGGGTTATTTTGGACTTTTGAAAACCGGTAAAGAGAAAATATGTTTCCTTTATTGAGATTTTCCAGCCCTGAATATATTTGCACTTATTTAAGACTCACCCTGTATAATTCTTTGTAATAATTAAACTTATTTATGTGTACCAAAATTAACAAAAATATTTTCTTTCTAAATGAAAAAATAAAGGAAGTACATTTTTTCATATGTAGGCGAGACATACTGTATTACCCTACGCTGCTCCGATAATCCTTTTTCGTACAATGGACGTACACTTCAAGAGATTTTTACAGAAAACGAGTTGACCATGATATGATTCTGCTATCAATCCAAATGTATTTTGTGCGATGTCTGCTTTGCTTTGTTGGTTGTTTTTTGGGCGAAAGTTGCCTCCACACCCAAGGCAATTTCGACCATCATATCCTTAAAGTTGGCTATAAAATTCGGAGGAATGCGTCTCGAAGGTACAGTTTTGTATAACATACAGATCGACAAACAACAATGGCCTGCAAAGTAAGTTTTCCAAGCTCTGACTTTGGATATACTGCGGAATTTTTAAAAACACGAATCAAAGTATTAAAATAACAAATTATTTACAATCGGCCTCTCATTTAACTGTAATTGATGTGTATAATAATTGTAATTTAATAATAAATATAGGAGTATATTTATATATTATTAATAACTATTATTTTAAAAATACACAATAAAAATTGTTTTTCTTACGATGTTTTACACTATTTTTAAATTATTTTTAATTGTTAAATTAGTTAATGATTTTATTTATCTTTTTTAAAATTATACAGGGTGGGTCTTAAATAAGTGCAAATATTTTCAGGGCTGGAAGATCTCGATAAAAGAATAAGATTTTCTTTTTACCATTTTTCAAATAAGTCCAACCGAGATGATTTACTATGAAAATTTAAAAAAAAATTTTCGCTTAAATTTTGAGAACCGCTGTAAATTTAGTCTACTACCTATGTTGCCATATTATGAAAATATTATGTTTTTAAACTACAAATTAATTTTTTTCCAAAAAATGTTTCAAAAAATTCCAAATTTTTAATTTTTTTTTTTTGAGAAATATACCTCATAAACGAGTTTCTGGGGTCAAAATATACTACCCCTAAGAATATTTGCACTTATTTAAAACTCACCCTGTATATTATTTAAGCTTTAAAAATATAGCTTATATATTTTCTTGATAGTAGGTATATGATTATATTGTATAGGCAAATTTTTAAATTTCTTTTTAAATATTATGGTTGTGATACCATTTCTTTTTTTTCTCAAATTTTTCAACACAAAAATTACTAATATATTTATCGATATTAATAATATGTATTTATATTATTCATAAAAATCTACTTTTCTGAGTTTCTTAGTGTGTTGAAAATGCTTTTTTGTTGGTTTAAGTGTGTATAATAAGTAATTATTTAAAGTATATCAAAATACCTACGTCAAATTTCATAAAATAAGAAGTACGTTTTCATCTTGATATTATTATTATTTTTTGGTGACAAACTATTTTAACAAAATTTTATGCAAAGAAATATCTGATTAATTAATAAAAAACAAATTTCTTGAACATTTAAAAATACCGAACAATAATGATCCTTTCATAAATTTATTAATGATATCTTTTTTAAATTGCGTTTTTTGGTTAAACTATATTTTCCTTTGAAACGTCAGTCAAATTATGATATTAAGAAATTATGGTATACTTTAAATAAAATAAACTAAAAAAATGGAAATTAAATACTTTCTAGCAAAGCTTTTAATTTCCATTAATTAACAAATATATTTCGTTTTCTCAATTAATCTAGCTAAATATATTATTTCTTTTTCTTTTCAGTTCGTAATCCTCGCCGCTACCTTGGCTTTCGCCAACGCCGGATTCCTCCCATCCGCACCAGCTGTAGCCTACTCTGCTCCAGCTGCCGTAGCATACTCCGCCCCAGCCGTAGCCTACTCTTCCCCAGCCGTAGTCTCCAAATCCATCAGCTCCACATCCCAAGTCCACCCATCCCCTGTCTACTCCACCTACGCTGCTGCCGCTCCCATTGTAGCTAAAGCCGCCTACGCTCCAGCTCCAGTAGCCTACTCAGCTCCTTTGGCTGCCCCCGTAGCCTACTCTGCACCGGCTACCTACGCCGCTGCCGCTCCAGTTGTAGCTGCCTACTCCGCTCCAGCTTTATCCAAATCTGTTGTATCCACCTACACCAGCCACGGAGCTCCATCTGTAGTATCCGCCTACTCCGCCGCCCCAGTTGTAGCTAAGGCCGCGTATGCTGCTCCAGCTGTAGCCTACTCCGCCCCTGTAGCTGCCCCAGTAGCCTACTCCGCTCCATCTTATGCCTACTCTGCTCCAGCTGCTTATGCCTACTCCGCTCCAGTTGTAGCCAAGACCGCCTATGCTGCTGCCCCAGCTTATGCCTACTCAGCCCCCGCTGCCTATGCCGCACCTGCCTGGTAAATGGAGAAGATGTCTTTCTGTAAATTTAATTTATTGTAGTTAAAATACTTAAATTATTAAACCAAAAAGGCCATTGTACATCGAACATCCTGTAAATAAATTTCCAATCACTTAAAATTTTACTTTTTTTCTACCTTATTAAGTTTAATTATATTAAATTACCATCGATTGTGATTTAAAAGGCTACTATTATGCGTTCTTTTTCGTTCATATGTTGTATGTTAACACACAAATATATAAAAACTGGAATACCATACTAATGGACCCACAAAATGGGCCGTGACAATATTGTACAGAGTGGCGCCTCTCATACGACGCGGAGGCTCCAAAGAGAACAACAGTTCTACAGGGTGTACCAAAAAAAGTTACATATCAAAGTTGTGTTTTTTGTAATGGAACACCCTATACAGGGTGGCCCATCGAAAACGTTCCGCAAGGCATAACGGCGAGAGTAATTTTTTTTCAGAAAATTAAAAAACACGTCAATTTTGTTTGTGAGGGGGACAACTTTTGCCCCAAAAATAATTGCAAAATCTACAACCCTCTAAGCGGGGGTGTCATCCCCCAACTTTTTTCAAAAGGGAAGGGGGTCAAGTATCGCCGCAATGAAAAGAGCTTTCTATTCTCTATATTTCCCCGCTTCGTTTTTGAAAATCGGTCGAGTCGTTGAGAAAATATAAAGGATTGAAATTTGAAAAGTTTATTTAAACATTTGTCAGAGTAAATGATAAGGATAAATTCCTTCGACCAATTTGCTATTTTTTCTTATTATTTCTAGATGTTTGCGCATTTTTTCACTTGCCACAAGTTTGAACGGTCAGTTGCGGTAGTTGCTAGATAGCTGTTCTGTGAGTGGTGCGTTGAAGTTCTTCTCAATATCGTTAAACCTTTTAACAATTATGGTGTACTCACTTGCAGAAAAAGTGGAAATAATCGAACTTTATTTTAAAAATAATGAATGTATCGGGTTGGGCACATATTCAATGCACGCTATCCTGACAAACACCTTTATGGCAAAATTGTTCGCGAGTTAGTAGCAAAATTTCGCGAAACTGGTTCCGTAATGAATAAAAAGAGGCAGAGGGAAAATCCTGTAGTAAATGAAGCTATGGAGGTATTCGTATTGGGCCAATTTGCCATGGATAGTACGCTGAGTACAAGAAAATTAGCCAATAAGACAGGCGTGAATCGTACAATTGTCCAAAGGATATTAAAAAAACACAAGTTCCACCCGTACAAAATTCAGTTGGTACAAGAACTCAACGAAGGCGATTTTGATCGTCGCTTGCAATTTTGTGAAACTATGAGTGAACGAGTGGCGAATGATAATAATTTCCTATTTAATGTGTGTTTTTCGGATGAGTGTACTTTCTTTTTGAACGCTGTAGTTAATCGGCACACTGTCGGTACTAACCTGACCGTTTAACCTTGTGGCAAGTGAAAAAATGCGTAAACATCTAGAAATAATAAGAAAAAAACAATCTTTCATATTTTCTCAATGACTCGACCGATTTTCAAAAACGAAGCGGGGAAATATAGAGAATAGAGGGCTCTTTTCATTGCGGTGCCACTTGACCTTTGAAAAAAGTTAGGGGATGACACCCCCGCTTAGAGGGTTAAATATTTTGCAATAATTTTTAGGGCAAAATTTGTCCCCCTCACAAACAAAATTGACGTGTTTTTGGATTTTTTGACGAAAAAAATACTCTGGCCGTTATGCCTTGCGGAACGTTTTCGATGGGCCACCCTGTATATTAATTGATTTTCGGATTCTGTTAGAAAAATAAAGGTGAGTTTTATGAAAGAAGTATATGACAAAAATGTAAGGTTTTTGACAACATTTTCTGAAAATAAAGAGCTACCTAAATTGGAATTTACCCAGTGTAGCCTAATTTGTAATTAAAATAACTATTGTACTTTAAATCAAATTAGAACTTCATCCAATAAGTGATACAGGGTGAGACAAAATTAATATTGAACTTTGGTCACCCCTAAGAGCAAGTTACACTTTTTTTTAAATGGAACACCCAGTATATTATTCGAATATTCAATGGGGAATTCAAGTCTCTACTTTTCTAGATATTTTCATTTTTATGATTTAGTGTCAGTAGATTTTTATTATATTTGATAAAATCTAGGTGGCTGGTGATATGTCTGACGTTACTTCAACATAGCTGACTAATTAGTCCAACTTTTACAACTAGTTATCATTTGGTGTCAGTTAAAACTAAAATTCCCAGAAATCTACCGAAGATGCAAACTGATCCTACATCAGAAAGAATTCATATGATTATATTAGTTGGTTAATGCAGTGTGCATTTTGTCTAATCTGTTTTTTTTATGCGGATATGTTAAAGACAGTGTTTACAAAACTTGACCAACTATTGTCGACAACATGAGAGAAATAATTGTAGCTGCTTTTCGAACTAGAACTCCACATATGCCGTTTAAAATAGAAAGATCTTTTGAATAGACAATAATTTTATGCAGTAAATAGGAAAGGCAATAGCATTTAGAGTAGGGAATGCCATCCCGCAAATGCTGGATCCCTCTGAGATTCCGCGGGATCGAAGTTGCGGGATTTATCGGGATCCGCTGATCAAGTTCAAACCCCTTCGTTCCGTGCCGATGAGTCGACGCTCGGAACCTGGGGGACCCGTTTAACTAGTACTTGTGGACAATTTCGTCAAATAAACTGCCGAACATAATTATCGGGACAAGCAAAATTTTAGGGTAAATTTAAAGTTGAATATCTCTTGAACTAAGTTAAAAAAAACTTCAACGTCAGAATAATACTTTTATTTATAAAATAAGTAGATAAATTATAATAAAATTTAAGTTTATTTAATATTAAATATATTTTTTGAACACCCTGTATAAATCGGTCTAAATTTCTGTACACGCTATATCAATATATTGTGGGCCTATGCCAAATGTACAATGCCTTTTGTACCATTTAGGACCAAATGTATGACTATTGTTTACAGTCCCGCAATTTTGCGGATCCGCGGGATTGATTGCTTTAATCCCGCGGGTTTGCGGGATTGAGATTTTGGTGCGGGATTGCATTCCCTAATTTAGAGCATTTGATTTCATATTTCATCTAGCTAATTTTTGTCACATAATTATAGGTTTATATCTAGTTTTAATTCTATAATAATTAAAATATGTTTTAAACGTGTATATTTTTATTACCTTTGAGTATTTTACTCCAACATCCTTTAATTTTTGTTAAATTAACAAAAGGTATATCACAGCCACCCTAGATTTTTTCAAATAAAGATCTACTGACGCAAAATCATAAAAATTAAAATATCTAGGAGAATCTTTGTCTGAGAGGTAGATAACCTTAATAATATTGTGAAGATATATGAATTCTCCATTGAACACCGCAATAATATACTGGGTGTTCCATTTAAAATAAAAGAGTAACTTGCTTTTAAAAGTGACCAATGTTCAATGTTCCATATTAATTTTGTCTCACCCTGTAGAACTTTTCGAGTCAAATTTTAATTTGGTTTAACATACAATTCTTATTGTAATTAAATATCAGACTATACAGGGTGAATTAAGAGCTGTTATTGAAATTCAAGATTTACTCTTCATTTTCGCAAAATTTGAAATATGTCAAAATCCTTACAGTTTAGGTATATGCTTCTTTAATAAAACTCTTATTTATTTTTTTCCTAAAATCCGAAAATCAATTAATATATAAGGTGTTCCATTACAAAAAACAAAACTTTGAGGTGTAACTTTTTTGGGGACACCCTGTATAACTTTATATATTTTTATAAAATACTCTCTATTAACCTACAGATGCTCCCAAAATTTCATTTCGATATAAACTACCGTTCTCCTTGGAGCCTCCGCGTCGTATGGGAAGCGTCACTCTCCATGATAGATAGTTATTAGGAGGTACGCAAGTATGCCAAATCCGAATCCAATCGAACGCCAGAAAGAAACACCATCACATTACTGATGGTACTATATTTATAGTACTATATTGTATCACTTGATATACCTCATGGTACCATAACATTAAATTGTCACCGAAGATAACCAAGTCTACAAAATTTGAACTCAATCGAACGTCAGTACTTAACAAATAATATTTAAATAAGCATGGTATTACGGTTGATAGAGTATACCGTATGTTCGGAAAAAACGGCTTCAAATAGGCTTAGAAATGACAATCGATGGCATTCACCACATATTTTTACATATGAATTGACAGTGATTTTCATTCCCAAGCCATATTTTTTCTGACGTATTGTGTTTTTGTACACAGTGTACTTGAAATAATGAAAGATAATAATTCAAGTGGATAGAAAAATCAAAATAAAATTTTAAGAGATTCGAAATTTATTTACAGAATGTTCGATATACAATGGCCTTTTTGGTTTAATAATTTAAGTATTTTAACTACAATAAATTAAATTTACAGAAAGATATCTTCTCCATTTACCAGGCAGGTGCGGCGTAGCTGGATACTACGGGAGCGGCTACAGTCTTGGCTACAACTGGTGCGGAGTAGGCATAAGCTGCTGGAGCAGAGTAGGCGTAAGATGGAGCAGCATAGGCGGCCTTGGCTACAACTGGAGCGGAGTAGGCATAAGCTGCTGGAGCAGAGTAGGCGTAAGATGGGGCGGAGTAGGCTACTGGAGCAGCTACAGGAGCGGAGTAAGCTACAGCTGGGGCACCATACGCGGCCTTAGCTACAACTGGGGCGGCAGCGTAGCTGGATACTACAGATGGAGCTCCGTGGCTGGTGTAGGTGGATACAACAGATTTGGATACAGATGGAGCGGAGTAGGCAGCTACAACTGGAGCGGCAGCGGCGTAGGCTGGTGCGGAGTAGGCTACGGGGGCAGCCAAAGGAGCTGAGTAAGCTACTGGGGCGGGAGCGTAGGCAGCTTTGGCTACAATGGGAGCGGCGGCAGCGTAAGTAGAGTAGACAGGGGATGGGTGGACTTGGGATGTGGAGCTGATGGATTTGGAGACTACAGCTGGGGAAGAGTAGGCTACGGCTGGGGCCGAGTAGGCTACGGCAGCTGGGGCAGAGTAGGCTACTGCTGGTGCGGAGTGGAGGAGACCAGCGTTGGCGAAAGCCAAGGTAGCGGCAAGGATTACGATCTGAAAAGGAGAGAAAATATCTATTAAAACTTGTTTTAGCATTATTAACATTTTATCGATTTACTAAGATATTTGTGTAGTTAATTAAAGTTATTATTTTTATAATTGAAAATTATTTATAATATTTTTCTTCGAGCATACTGATCTTACTAATCTTATTGGCTGTTAAATAGGAGTACTTAATAAAAATATATTTTTAATAATTTACTAAAGATTGATTTTAATTAATTGTAGTAAATAAGAGCATTTGAGAATATTAATACTAAAATTTTTGTCGTTTTGCATAAAATTAATTTATCTTAAATAGAAAACAAAAACAGATACAAATTTAATATAAATAAATCAACATATTATTATTAATATTAAATTAAAAATTAATTTTAGAACAGATGTAGACTAGAATAAGATCAAAAATATCAACATTTACAGCCTCGACTTACTTTGCAGGCCATTGTTGTTTATTGATCTGTATGTTATACAAAACTGATACCTTTTTGACATATTCCATCGAATTTTATAGCCAACTTTAAGGATATGATGTTTGCTAAATTTCCTTGGGTGTGGAGGCAACTTTCGCCTAAAAAACCGACAATGTAAAGCAGACCGCCTAGTATACGCGTATAGATTGATAGCAGAATCATATTATCATGGTCAAATGAATATTAAAACAAGTTATATCAAAATTGAACCATCAGTCAGACATCTTAGTATTTACTGGTCTAGAAATACATATTTTAAATGTCAAAGTAGAAATAATCAGATTCTTTTAAATTGTTCATTTAAAGTTTTTAGTACTAAAATCGTTAATATTATTTTAACGGATTTGTCTACAAAGATTTGTCTATTAGAAGTCTTAAGTACATCACATTATTTTTGAATGCGGATATATTTATTATTATATAAACGTTAAGAGCAAATTAAGCTTTCCGAAGCTTTACTTTTAAATGTTCTTAAAACTTATTAAATACAGGGTGGCGCCTCTCATACACCGCAGAAGCTCCAAGGAGAACGGTACTTTATATCGAAATGAAATTTTGGCAGCATAATATGTAGGTTAACTGAAAGCATTTTATAAAAATATATAGAATTATACAGGGTGTCCCCAAAAAAAGTTACATGGAACACCTCATATATTAATTGATTTTCGAATTCTAAGAAAAGAATAAAGGTGAGTTTTATTAAAGAAGCATATACCTAAAATCTAAGGATTTTGACATATTTCACATTTTGTGAAAATGAAAAGTATATTTTAAATTTCGATAACAGCTACCAAAATTTTAGTTGACCTTGTATAGCCTGATATTTAATTACAATAACCATTGTATGGTAAACTAAATTAAAATCTGACCCGAAAAGTTATACAGGGTGAGACAAAATTAATATGGAACATTAGTCACTTTTAAAAACAAGTTACTCCTTTATTTTAAATGAAACACCCAGTATATTATTCCGGTGTCCAATGGAGAATTTATATATCTTCAAAATATTATTAAGTTTGCCTACACCTCAGACAAAGATTTTCCTAGATATTTTAATTTTTATGATTTTGCGTCAATTGATCATTATTATTTGAAAAAATCTAGAGTGGCTATAATATACCTTTGGTTAATTTAGCAAAAATTAAAGATTTTAGAGTAAATACTCAACGGTAATAAAAATATACACGTTTAAATCATATTTTAATTATTACAGAATTAAAACTAGATATAAACCTATAATTATGCGACAAAAATTAGCTAGATGAAATCAAATGCTCAAAATGTTTCCTTTTCTTTTTAAAAGGATCTTTTCAGTTTAAAAGGCATATGTGGAGTTCTACCTCGAAAAGCAGCTACTATAATTTATCTCATGTTGTCGACAATAGTTGGTCGAATTTTGTAAACACTGTCTTTAACATATCCCCATAAAAAAACCAGACTAGATAAAAACAGTAGCATTTAAGTATTCTATTAAATGGTGAATGCACACTGCATTCACTAATAGAATCATATCAATTCTCTTTATGTAGGATAAGTTTGCATTTTCGGCAAATTTCTGAGAAATTTTTTTGTTTTAACTGACACAAAATGATAACTAGTTGTTAAAGTTGGTTGATTCTTATTGCTAACTAAGCTAATTTGACATCTATGTTGAAGTTCGTCAGACATATCACAGCCACCTTACTTTTTAATGAAAGTTTTAATAAAAATAAACACATTTTTTCAGATATTTGAAGAACCGACTTTAATGAAATTTTGGGTGTCGATGTTTTGCTAAGTGCTTTAACATTTGACTTTCACAAAAATCATAAAAAGTACGGAAAGGGTAAAAACTACACCCGCCCCTCTATGAATTTTAATATAAATATATTCTAACTCAAATGACGCGACGTTTTTTGTCTCTTGTGAAAAAAAACGCCACTGCGCACACTTTTTGAGGGAAAAAATAAATTTCTCGAAGCTAACTTATGATTTTTTTTGTCACCAAGCTATGGCGGCGCATAAAACCTATTATGCTCTAATAATTTAATTGGGGAAAATATGGATTTTTACGTTAATATAAATTATATTTAACAATAAGCTTTGTAGCGTTTTTTAAACAACCACCACTGCGAACGGCAGCTTTTCATCGGAGAGCAGTCGTGGATAAGGTATTTCACTGGAAAGAAAACTAATTAATAACAATAAACAAAAAAATAGATATTGGGCGCCAGGCATGTACAGAGAAAGAAAACACAGTTGTATATTACTTAAAACTAATGACTATATTCATTCATGATGTTCGTTGCTGATACATGACATTGTAGAGTTCTAGTGAATATGTAGTGGTTATATGTCAAAGAAAGTGGTGGTAAGAGTTGTACTAAATATCTATGAAAACGACTATGATAAAATACAAGAAATGTAAAGTTTAAGAGAATGTATGAAATGTAGCATTACTTTATTAATTTGATATATTTTATATGATGTTAGAGTGCAATAATAATATCTATAAAAAAGTAATACTATTACAAGACATAATGCAATGAAACCTAAGATCTAAATTATATTTTAACTACTAAATCGACATGAATGTTCTTAACAATCTAACCACTCAACATAGTCTATACGATATTATTTAAGATGTACATTATTGTTTAAGACTGTAAATGTTTTAAATGTTAAAAGCAAAACTATAACTTAAATCTACACTTAGCTGTTCTTTATGCAATCCTGCTTAAAACAGTAACATCGTGAGGTGGTCTCGCATTTCTCTGTACTCGGCCATCCAACACAACCAAAGGGGCCAGAATGAGGACACCATGACTTGATACACCCGTAACTAACTAGCTTATAGCTGGGAACGAAGCAGCATGGGACTCAAGCTACATCCACGCTGTGGCACTTATATGTAGGAAAAAAATCATTCTTACTGGGGACACTCGTCCACAGGACATCTGTACATAAGATAATGTCTGTACATAAGACACTATCCGTACCTTGGACACAGTCCGTACCTTGGACACAGTCCGTACCTTGGACACAGTCCGTATCTTGGACACAGTCCGTATCTTGGACACAGTCCGTACCTTGGACACAGTCGGTATCTTGGAAATAGTCCGTACCTTGGAAATAGTCCGTACCTTGGACACAGTCCGTATCTTGGAAATAGTCCGTACCTTGGACCCTAAAAATATGAAACTCTTGTTTAAAACCAAACAAGGTCTATAAACAAAATAAACCTACCTCGAAATACTTCCGAGGGCTCAATAAATAATAAACAACATGTCCTTTCTTCCATGTGACATTCTGGAGGACAAAAGAAAAGGGACGCCAACGTGCCAGCAAAATACAATTACAAGTTAGGTTGGGGCATCCGCAACTCTACCCTAAAAATACGCAGTAATAGTAACGAATCTAAAAGGATAATATCTCATCATTACCTGTAGCTTCGAAATAGCAGCTGATTCAGATTACACAGCAAGATTTAAATAATCACTATTTCTCAAAAACTGGGACTAATGGCGTCTGACAGGCCAAACAGTCTAACCAAAAGTGAAGTTAAATCACAGAGAGTTGACAGAAGCGACGTTGACAGCGCGCGCCTCCACAGAGCGATAACAGGGTTGTGTCAAACGAAAACAGGGTTGTGGACTAGAGAACGTAAAAATTCGTCAAATAAATCATCAGGCCCGAACGATACGGAATCGGGTGACGATATGCCAGACATCATATATTATATATAAAAAAAAACATGTAACGAACTAAAAACGTTACAGCTTCATAAAAAGCTTAAAGATTTAATGAATTTTAAATTAATTAACGTTCGGGTTAATTTTTCATTAGTGCCCTCTAACAGACAAACGAAACACTTTTGTATAAAGGTAAATTATGTGCAATTAACTTATTTTGATTCAAAAATTACGTAGTTCTTCTATTTCCACGGAATATTTCAACTCCCTGTATATTTTGTAGGTCTGCTTTGGAAAAATAAAATCTCTATCTACAAGAGACAAAAAATTTAGTACTTTACTAACTAATTATGTAGGAGTGGAGGTAGTTTTTACCCTTCCCGTACTGTTCCTTGATTTTTCTGCAAGTTTAAAAATGTTAAAGCACTTAGGAAGACATAGTCATCCAAAATCTCATTCAAATCGGAATAACAGCTCTTAAAATATCTTAAAAAATGTGTTTATTTTTTTTAAGTTTGATACTCTCTAGCGGACAAAAGAAGCACTTTTGTATAGAGGTAAATTGTGTCCAGTATACTTATTTTGACTCCAAGAGTACGTAGTAGCACTATGTCCACGGAATATTGGGATACCCTGTATATCCTTACAATATCACAAAATATAAAAGATAAGAAAAGGGCTAACCATACCACTGTAAGGTTTTTAAACCAGTGTATTTTTAACTTAAAAAAAAACAGCTATTTTTATAATTTCCAAGTCTTTTAGCAAGATACTAAATAGATTTCAGTAAAATGAACCTGTTATAAAAGTATAAGAGGAATTGTACCCTCTTGTCTCCCTCTATTACTTTTTTACTTTTATCTCATTTAAAAAATACAATAATATAATCGTTGGATTAGTGGATACCATACCAGATTAGACATAACTTTAACAAGATGAAAATCAAGGAACTGCCTTAAACAGCTTTTTACAGTTTCCTTAAGCATCAGTTTTTAACATAGAATCCACTGAAGTACCTAATCATATTTCTGATATAAATCGTCATTACTTAAGTATTACCACAAACTCACTTTTAAGTAGGTACATACTATAATAATCCAGGAGACAGTGAATTTTTTTACTTATTTTCCCAGTTGATGAATATCAAATAGTTTGTTCGAATGGGACATAAATTGTCATGAGTCTGGCTAAAATATTGGGATGGGTTTATTAGATTAAAAAAGACAAGTCTACTTATATTCGCCGTCATAAATAGTTTACATTTACATACATTTGTTTAAAGTGAATCACTTGTGTCTGTAATCAAAAACAAGCCAGGCTGGTTTACGAAATTACCAATTAAGACTGACGGCATCTTGAATGTTGGAATTTAAGTCCGGATTTGAAAAATTGTCACATGATAAATAATACTGTAATTTCATAGAAAATACACGTCTGGTTGTTTTTTAGAATCACCACCAGACTCATAAGTCAGGTAGTTAAATAAAAAAGGAAGCGGTACTGTATAATTGAACATGCCGAATTTAGCGTGCCTGACGAGCGTTGGACGAATCAGGCAACGCCTTCGGGATGTGTTCCACAATTAGCCAGACTATATTTGCAGCTGTAGTTATAGTTTAAACTATCAATTTTTATCCAATTTTTCACCTGCCAGGCATATTACCCATTCTCACAGATTAACCAGACTATTATTTTTTCTTAACTACAAAACATCACTCATTTTTAGAACTATTTTTATCGCTAGAAAAAAAGTGCAGTATATTTGTACTTTTTAACGCATTTTTCGCCTTAATCCATCGGAACCTCCCCCTACAAATATATGAAATTTGTATAGATTATCATCTCTGGAAACGATAAGCATTTTTTTGCTTTAACTAGTTCAGAGCCAGTTTCTACTGACAAGGCAATTTCCGTTTGGACTTTTTTTTGTAGACTTCTTTTTCAGTGGCAAAATAACTAAGATTTTTTGCTTCCGACGACGCCGACGGGAAGAGAACATCATGAAACATTAAGCATTTTTTTTGTCCGTTAGGCAAATTTGTTTATTAGTAAATCACAAGTTGACAAGTTGGTCTCCTTTGGATTAATGCAGCAGTGTTTACAAAAAGTAACTATTTTATTTTGTAGATTTTCTTACAATGCAAGTGGCGAAATACCCATAGGACTTTTTTGAAGAGATAAATCCGCTACAGAGGTATAGACATTTTTTACTAATATAAGATTTTTCTCAAAACATTTTTAGGTATATTTGTCGCCAATACTTTTCATACAGTCGAAGTTATATGTGTATGTTATGTGTGAGTAAATTTTAAATTGCTCAAGAAAAATCGAAGAAAGTCTTGAGATTTTTTTTAACAAATATTATCAGTGGCGTAGCAACCGCTGTATCAGCTGTATCAGTGATACAGGGCCGACTAACCTGAGAGGCCCACCGAGCAGTAAAAAAATATCAAAATATTATGTTAACATCAAAATTTTTCGTAATTATGCAAACTTTGCTCATACTTTAATGAAACCCTGTATCAACTACAGCCAGAGCACGCGGCCATCACGCATTCGCCTGTCCCCGTATACATCAAACGGTTGCCAAAAATAAAAAATAAAATTGTTATATACCCAATAATTATTGTTACCCTTCTTGATTTTAGTTTCATAATATTTTCTTGTTTTTATTTTTATGTTTGTTTGTGGTTGGTTGTTGGAACGAATATTTATTTTATTTCTGTAGGTATAATTTTACCAAAGACCATATTACAGTTAAGGGTTGGAACCTTTGGTGTTACACAGCAAAATAAAACACTAAATCACCACAATACACCAAAACACTTTTACTTTTACACTGGACGCGCGTTTCGCTAACCATGTTAGTATCATCAGCAGATGATTATAGACTGATAATAAAAGTTTATAATCATCTGCTGATGATGCTAACATGGTTAGCGCGTTCCTTGTTTTGATATTTATATATATTGTTGGAAAGAATGTTTATTTTATTCCTGTAAGTAAAAGTTATTAATAAATAATAAGCTATTTTGATCAGACGGTAAGTTTTTTATTTTATTTACCCCCCCCCCCTCATGGTTCTGTCTCAGCTTCCCCCTGCGAAATTCGTGATACAGGGCCCCTTCAATGCTAGCTACGCCACTGAATATTATACCCATATACAGAAACTTTCTACGTATATACCTTAGATTAAGAATAAGTACAGTACATCTGCTGGATCTGTGCCTATGAAAGGAATGCGGACAAAAAATATTTAAATAAACAGCAATATATTTTATACGTCGACTTGACGAGTACGTCACCGCAAATCGCTCCGCCCACTCATTTTATTGGCTACTTGCAAATTTGTCGAATTTTTATTGATGGGACGCGTCGTCTAATTTTTTACGAAAAACATCGAGAGAATATCGTTTCCCCTCTCACGGTTACCCCGTAGCTACAGAACGGGCAGACGTACTGTATATACTGTTCTTTTTGGCCATAGAAGTAATTGTTCAGAGCAGTAGCGACTCGTGATCAACTGTAAAAATTATAAAAATGTTTTTAAAGGTGAAGCAGAATAATATGTCATGCAGTAATAGAGAGCTGTCGATTGGTTTAATATATTCACAGATTTTTGTGGTAATGTTTTGTATTTATTACACATTAATAAGAAAAATAAAAATATATTTTTTTAATAACTGTGTCAGACACAAATTATTGAATCTTTTATATTAATTATTTAATTAGGTATATCTCTTTAATTGGTGCTGTAATTTTTTGGGGTAAATATTTTTTTCACCTGCTTCACAGAGCAAGCTGATACTATGGATGCTGCTGTAATAAGAGTGATAGCATAAGAAACAATTCTAATCTTCCCTTCATGCTCATTTTTCATTCTTGTCATATACAGAGAAGACCAGGCTACTAGTAACATAGCAAGTTGCCGGACGAATTTACGTTTACCCAATTTGCGTTCGTACTCGAGATTCACTGCCGGCTAGTCGGCTAGTCAGGCAGTACGCAGTTGCAGTTGTGCTTGAACGGGTCATTTTAACTGTTTACCTTCACTTAGGTAACATTTAAAATAAAAATACTTAAATCTTTATTATTTGAGTGTGTTTACAAGCCAAAACTAAAAATAAATTCTCTAAACGCCAAAAAAACTAAAATATCACTCTAAATAAAAAAAAAAGTTATAACAAGTGTTGAAAAAGACCACCTTCTTGTGCTAGACAGAAGCCTGGGCGGTCGTAAAATCCCCGTCTGACATTGGCTAACATATTAAGGCTAATAGTTTGGAAAGCCTCTCGTATTTTTACTTGAAGCTCATCCAGGTTATTAGCCCTATTATGACCATACACTTTGGGTTTTACATAATCCCACAAAAAGAAATCATTGGGAGAAAGATCTGGTGATCTAGCGGGCCACAAAATAGTTCCATGTCCACTAATTAAACGGTTAAACACTTGCTTTAACTCCTGTTCTTCATTAATCAACACATCAGGCTTCTAGTGTTTTTGTGGGGACACGCACCCATGTGTTTCAAAATTATTAATAACTCTTGATATAGTAGGTAAAGATAGAATTGCCCTGTTTTCAAAAGTTTGTGGAAAAATTGTTTGTATATCCCGATAAGACCTATTTTGGAAATACCATTTTACAATTTGAATCTCACGAACTTCGTAAACATCCATTATTTTACTTAAAAAATAAATTTTATACGAAAACTGTCGCGAGAATCTATGTATTCGTTTTGAATAAACACGAATAAATACAAATTATGAAACATTCCTATCACATATCTACCTATTTTTATTTTATCGCATTTTTTCGCCTGCTTTTTATCCGGCGGACGGGTATACGCTAATTCGTCCGGTTCTGCCTATGTTACTACTACGGTGGTCCGGTCTGTATATTGTTCTACTTTGTACTTGGCATCTGGCCATATAGCTATTTAATAGCATTTTAAAAAGTCTATCAAAATAGCAAAAATAAAAATTAACAAAAAAAGTAATGTCTCGTTGTTCTTTATATTGTATATTATGTAAAACTAAAGAAGAAACTTAATAATGGTCAATGGTCTTGTAATAATTACATTTTTATATACCTTGCTAATATTTTTGCTACTAAATTCAGTAATGGTGCCATCAAGTCAATCAAAAGCTTATCTTTTAAAATAATTGAAAATTTTCAATACTATAGATGACTTCAAATTAATTGCTATTAGGTAGTAGGAAGAAGAGAGAAAACAAAGATATGAATAGAAAAGTAAAATACATGTAATAGAAAAAATAATTTATTAAATATACATAATAAAACACACTACAACATATCTACAAACAAATTGGCAGTCTATTCGTTCCATCAATTTAATAATGATATTCAACACCGTATCCCTGGAAAGCGGTATGCGCTACAACGGCAGCTGGAGAGTAAGACACACCAGTTTTGGCAATTACTGGAGCAGCAGCGGCATAAGTGGCTACAGGCGCTGGAGCAGCATAAGTCTTGGTCACAACTGATGCAGGAGCAGCATAGGCGATTGGGGAAGGAGCAGCATAACTCTTGGTTACAATTGGTCCATGAGCGGCATAAGCAATTGGAGCTGGAGCACCATAAGTCTTGGTTATAATAGGACCAGGCGCAGCATAAGTAAGTGGAGCTGGAGCAGCATAAGACTTAGCTACAATAGGGCCAGGTGCGGCGTAGCTGATTGGAGCATGGGCAGAATAAGCCTTGGTTACAATGGATGCAGGCGCGGCATAACTCAGAGGAGCTGGGGCAGCATAAGTTTTGGTTACGACTGGGCCAGGTGCAGCATAGGCGAAGGGAGCGGCGGAGGCGTATGCTACAGGTGCGGGAGCTGCGTAAGCCTTGGTAACAAGGGGAGCAGAGTAGGCGACCTGAAAAATAAAAATGTTTGTAAAAAAATTACGTTACATAATGAATTTGTATACAGGGAATTTTCGACGATAGTAGGTTAGCTGTTTAAGAACCAGTGATTTTATAGAAATTTTGAATTTTTACAAAAAGGCATCTGTTCCATCTGTCTAAATAATTTTCAGTGTTACAGTCTTCATATTAAAAGTATGCCGTTCCGACATCTTTGATATTTTAATAAAGAATATAAATTTTATATCTAGTTTTATGTCATTATGTACATACCAAGTGTTTTAATCTATTTTAGTATGATTAATTTTGAAAAGGACAACTATCATAAAATTCTTGCATACCATTATTGACTCTTTTTAACTCAAAAAACTTTTAAAAACGCTTCAAATGAATTGAAAAATTAATTTTCTTAAAATGGTCTAATATCAAGTCAGTATAAATTAAGGCATTATGATATTTTTAGAATAAGATTTTTTTGGTAAATCAACTGATTATATAGATTATACAACTCAGGTATATTTTTCCTATATAGAAGGATGTGATTAATAAGTGATAATCATTTAAGTGATTATCGCTTGGTGGCCATATTGTAATCGTCATTTATTAAAATTTTGGGGCAATCCCGAAACATCTTATTGTGGTATTACATTCGATAAACAACATTCCACTTGAAAAATCAGCTTTGGTGCAAAAATATATTTGATTCGCCCTGAATAAAAATGAAAATATTTTGAGAATATGCATAAGAATTCTCCGCATATATTGTAAAAAAAAATGGAGTGAACTGGAGTACTCAGTGGCGTTGGCGTTGAGATACAGTTCTCGTATACCGGGTGCGTCTCGAAAGTGTCTACAACCTCTATAACTTTTTTATTTTTTCAGGTAAAAAACGAGATTTGGTATGTTAGTATATGACATAAATTAGGATTGATTGACGAATTCCATTGCTTTTGGTCACTTCCTGTTTCACCAAAAATGATTACAACTTTTGATTTTTAAATGACGCCCTCGGTATTTTTTTTACTTTATTCGATAGAAAATGACGCTATGAATAGAATTACATATCATATGTCAACTTTTGATATTTTCACTTTAAAAAAATCGTATTTTAAATTCCAATCTGTGCTAAAAACACTAAGTTTTAATCAAGGAGCCTTGGAAAAGAATAGCTTTGATTATCTAATGTTGTCGCATGTTATCCTGGCCGGTTAAAAAATGCCCAAATCGTATTTTTAATTATATCTCAATTATTTTATACCCCACACTTGGTATTTCGAGTCAAATTGTCATCGCAAAAAAATCAAAAATTGACATATGAAATATCATTCTATGCGCAGTCTCATTTTCTATCAAATAAAGTAGAAATATACCAAGGGTGCCATTTAAAAATCAAAAGTTGTAGTCATTTCCCGTGAAAAAGGAAGTGACTACAACTACTGACGACATAATATAACAATAGTTTCTTTTATCAAAAAATTTAATAATAAGGATTTACAATTCTAAAGTAATAATATCCCAATGTAATAATTTACTGTTAAAGCCATCTAATAGCTACATCATCTTTTACCTTCAAATTATAAGGTAAAAAATTATGTGGCTATCAGTATATCCCTTATTAAAGACAATGGTATAGCTAAAGCACTAGTATAGCAAGCTACTTCCTACTAGCAAGCTACTCCCAACGAGGAGTACTTATAAACAGAATATCGAAAACTATCATTCTTATAAAGTAAAAACTTCTCAGTTTTTTTTCTTTTTGTACACTTCTATAAAATCAATATTATGTATTTCCTTGTATTCTATCTATCACCTTCAATACACACTTACCTGCGCTGGTGCGTAAGCCAAAGCATCATTGGTGATCCTGGTGTCGTATTTGCGTACGCTAGAGAAAGCACTGTCTAGAGATTTGGAATAGGTTGACACAGATTGGGCACCGCCAAGAGATCTAGATACGGATTGTTGGGAAATTCCGACAGATGGTGCGTGGTAAGCTACGGATGGAGCTGAATGGTAAGCTACAGCTGCTGGGGCTGATTGGTATGCTACAGCTGGAGCGGATTGGTATGCTACAGCGGGAGCGGCAGCATAAGCTAAAAAATAGAAGATAAATTAAATGATAGGCTTCATTATTGCAATGTTCTGACTTCTGACAGTTATCTAATGAGTAAATCAAAAGCTCTACCATCTGATTGTTGCCTAAAAGTCGTGATAATACTTACTAGCTACAGGTTGTGCGGCGTATGCCTTAGCGTAAGCTACAGGAGCTGAGGCTTGGTGAAGGTACTGACTGCTTACTGCGGTAGCTGGGGAGTAAGCTACAGCGGCGGGTTGTGCGATTAAATTGCCGGCATTGACGTAGGCCAGGGTAAGTGCCAAAATAACAAACTGAAAGAAAAAAAATATAGTGAACATGATTTGCTATCTGAAAATAAAGAAATAAATATCAAAGTTCACAAAATTATTTTCCGTTTTTTTTTTTTAATTAAACAAACTAGTTAATAGTTATAGGGTCAATTAGAGCTTTAAGGCTATAGGCAACAGACATATATAAAGTTATTTGAATAAAATGAAATTGTCACATTACAAGTTATTACAATATTTATGCTAATTAATAATAATAAATAATATAAATAGTAAAATGTGTTTATAAAAATATATTCGGAACTTTCAACAATTTAACTAGACAGTTATTTAATATTTTTGATATACAGGGTGAGTCTTCAAAAAGTGCAAATATATATAGGGGTATTATATTTCGATCCCAGAAACACGATCATGAGGGTTTTTCTTTCGAAAAAAAAAATTTAATTTGGACTTTTTTGAAAAAATGCGAAAAGATGAAATGTGAGGAGATGGATTTTTTGAGTTAAAAACATAATTTCTTGACAATATGGCAATAAATTTACAAGAAAGAAAACTCAGAAAAGATCCAGTAGTTTCCATTTCAAAATATGTAAAAAAAACAAATAAATTATGCATGTCCAAGCGTTTTCCCGAAAAACTAACCGTTTCTTAAATAAATAAATAATTTTAATATTTGAGGGGCGTTTTCACCCTCTTGCAATTTGAGATTCGAGAAACCCCTCCTTATCGAACCTCTACGCCCCACAGTCAATCCGTTTGCCAAAAATCAGCTTTAAACGTCAAGCAGTTTAAGCAGAATCGTGATTACTCAATGGTCATATTTTACGAAACACCCTGTATAAATTTATAAAAAATCTTAAATTATGTAAAACAACAAAATAAAATATACTTGTTTAAGAGTTTTTCCGAAAAACTCACCGGTTTTTAAATAAAAAATATTTTAATATTTGAGGAATAGTTTCACCCCCTTGGAATTCGAGTTACGAAAAATCCCTTCTTATCGAACCTCTACACCCTAAACTCAATCTGTTTTCCAAAAATCAGCTTTTTACGTCAAGCGCTTTAAGCAGGATCGTGATTAATCAATGACCAGATTTTTCGAAACGCCCTGTATACATTCTTAAAAAATCTTAAAATATGTAAAAAAACAAAATAAAATATACGTGTTTAAGCGTTTTTACGGAAACTTGACCGTTTTTTAAATAAAAAATATTGTAATATTTGAGGGGTGGTTTCACCCTCTTGGAACTGGAATTTCGAAAAATCCCTTCTTATCGAACCTCTACATCCTAGAATCAACCTGTATGCCAAAATTGAGCTTCTTACGTTGAGTGGTTTGAGCAGGATCGTGATTAATCAGTATGTCAGTCACTTAAGGATTTTATATATTAGTATAGATTTTTATTATACAGGGTGAGTCTTAAATAAGTGCAAATATTTTCAGGGCTGGTAGATCTCGATAAAAGAAACATATTTTTTCTTTACCGTTTTTCAAATAAGTCCAAAATATCCGAGTTATTTTACTTTGAAAATTCCCCCAAAAAATGATTTTTTGCTTAAATTTTGAGAACCAAACCAACCACTGGATCTTTTCTGGGATTTCTTGTAAATTTAATTTACTACTTTTTAACTAAAAACTAAAAAAAAATCCAAACAATTTCAAATTTTGAAAAAAAATATAATCGTGTTTCTAGGCTCGAAATGTACTACCCCTAAAAATATTTGCACTTATTTAAGACTCACCCTGTATACAGTATGTCCCCGGATTGTCTTTACAAGAGGAAAATCTTTTTTATTATTGATCTTTTTTGACCTTTTGAGAAAAATGCATTCTTCATAAAAATATTTTTTGCTTCTTCTAAAATAGTCAATCGCGTTTATACTTTTCCAAATTTCCAGACCGTTTTAGAGAAAATTAAGAAAAACATAAAAATATGGTTGATTTTTTTTTTGAAATGTAAACGCGTTTCTATGGTAATATCAATTAGATTTCATTCTTCGATAGATGGTTACAGATGGTTATTATTAATTTTGATTAAGGTCATATTTTTTGATGTTGTTAAAGTATCACACAGGGGCGGGAAAGTGAAATAGCAAAAGCGGTTCCACCGTTTCCACGGAAATCTCAAATAAAATAGTTTCAGCCCTAACCACTAGATGGTAGTGCAATTAATTTTTAGGTTAAGAAGTTGCTATTAGTTATTGCCAGATGGCGTTAAATCAGAATTTTTTTGTAGTTTCCATAGTTTCCAACGGCCATTGTCATATTATTGTCAAATTCTCAAAAAATATTGTCGTTGTCATAGCACCACTCATAATATTATCCTTTGAATAAGAAGACCAGTGCCTTCTATTAAAAGATCAGCCTACGGGCGAGATTTATGACGTCACGCTAGTTAGATATAACGGATTAATAAATATGTTGTAGAATACATGGAAAACATAATTATTCCTCAGATTTTTGGTTTGTATTTTAAAAATGATATAGTTTAAATGAAATATACATAATATACAGTTAATAACTACAACATATATACCTATTTATAGTAATAAATACTTTGGCAAATAAACTATGAACCATACAAATGCAGCAAATGTTTTACAATGTACAAATAATGTATAGGTACATAAGATAATGGGTAAAATGTAAATATATTTTAAATTTTGGGGTTTGAAAATCGATCTAATTTAACAAAAAACATTTAATATCTACTAATAGTGATGTATTATTATTTGCATTCACAAAATTTATATGTATATTTTGCAAGTATCAATGTTCGAAAAATTATATTTACAAATAATACAATATTATCTAAAAAATGGCGTCAGCGATGGCTATGAAATGAAGATCGCTGGCATTTTATATGTTAAATTATTCTAAAATTTTTGATTTTCTTGGGATTTTTAGGTTCGGGAAAAACGCTGATTAAGTTTTCATTTGGGTTTTCATTATTTTTATTTTGTTTAAAAAAAAACGTTTCGGCTAACTATAGCCTTCACAGTGTTGTGTCATATGAGAAAAATAGTGTCGAATATAATCCAAAAAATTACATATACAATATAATTCACACCTCATAATGTTTACTGCAATTAATAAACTAATATAAACTTATCAAAAGATGACCACATATTTTTTTAAAATTATTATTCTTAACACTAAAATTATCTACATTGACTATGGAGTACGCAGTAAACATTATGTGCGTGGTGTGAATATTTTATATGCAATTTTTGGATTATATTCGACACTATTTTTTCATATGACACAACACTGATGGAGGCTATAATGTTAGCCGAACCTTTTTTAAACCAAATAAAAATAATGAAAAAACCAAATGAAAATCAATCAGCGTTTTTCCCGAACCTAAATTCGAAGAAAATCAAAAAATTTGAATATTTAGAATCAAGGTTCAAGAATATCAAATTTTCCAAGATTGTAAAATTCTAGTTAATTATTTTATGTGTACAGTTATTTAGGGAATGTCATCGATGTTTATTTCCAAGCCAACTAGACGCCGATTTTTTCGATGATACGGTATAATTCTTACGTAAAATGTAAATAACATTAGACCAATTAAAACAAAGAAATATGAATTTCTTAGTATTTTTAGTAACACCTTTATTCTTAAAACTTAATTTTGTATTATGCAAATATACCAATTTTATTGTTATTTTATTCATATTGTATTCAGCCATCACTTAAATATTTGATATTAATTTGGTATTATAAATAATCAATACTATTCATTAAAAATTACTGAACAAATATATGTTATGCTTAACATACATTATATATTATCAAACAAAAACACATTCTTCTTTTAAACTGTATCAGTCTTGTCTTTACAAAAATCTTTTTTAAAATTTGAACTCAAAATAATAATCTTTTTCATGATCTCTAATACGCATATTCTTTATTTTTCCCTAGATCATAATACCTACTTACGTGTTTGAATCTATCGAAGCTGAACCAGCAACACTTGGAGTGGAGATTCCACAATATGAATAAAATAAACATAATTGTCCAGTTTTCATTAATACCATCATGGGAGAATATTATTTTTAAATTTATTAAAGATATTTTCAATAAAATTCTCTTGATTTATAACTCGTACCCACTTTTCTTGCTCTTCCGGACACTTTAGGCTGCCTAGTATAATAACTATCCTTAGTAACTATCCTTTCCACCAGGAACACAACAAAGATGAGGCATAGCACCAATAACACACTCCACTTAAGCTTTATTGATGAATTGTTAGAGTCTTAAAAAAACACACACAAAAATCACGATAAGTAAAAATGTATGGGCACTTTTAGGTTAAATGACTTGCACAACGTGTAATTTTTAAAATTTCTATTTTTTTATGCGAAACCGAGAGTGACCATATATCTGGTAGTAGTTTATGTCACTTCAACACCAAAATAATTAGTTTTTTGCACTACAATAATAAATAATACCAAAAATCAAAGAGTTAAAACCAAAAATCAACCGACAAAATATGAAACGGAATCTAACCCAATATCTAAGTATGTACAGCTGATGAAGTAAACAAAAGTCCGCCCGTAGGCTGATCTTTTAATAGAAGGCACTGAGAAGACTAAGGAAGGAGCATAATGCTATCCATGGTGGGCGGAAAAGCCACCATAAAAGCTCTCTAGGGTGGGGATCTTTGACAGTTCTGTTTGACGATTCATTTGACACATTTGAATTTGATTTGAAATTTTGTGGATTTGTCAGTCTTTACGGAGCTTATTTTATGTTATTTATTATTTATTCTACTACTGATAGTTGTATAAAGGTAGTAAATCTAGATGGAAATTGTGGCAGAACTTAAATTAACAGTGACACTATCGCGATTTATCGAAAAATACTCTAAAATAGTTGGTTGTGTAGCGTGCGGTAGATCTCGGCAAAAACTGAGTGAAATAATGGAACAACTTTTCGCTAGTAAGTAACTATATAATATACATACGTGTAGTAAACCGATCATTTATGAAATTCACTTAAATTAACTAAATTATATATTTTTCTTGCATTTTAGCTTTTATTTATTACTTGTCAAAGATTAGATGTCAAAGAATTTAGATACGTTAATTTGACTTACCTGCTTCAGTAGCGTATCGGATGTTTGTGTTAATAAATACTTATTATAACTGATCTATTTTTATTAGAATTATATATTTTTATAACAATTTTAATAACTACCAACATTTATTCACAACGTAAAATAAAACAACAAATTATTGAGTCTACCCCACGTCTACCCTACATCATAGTTTTACATTTTTTAAATAAAATTAGAACGACACTGATAAACCGGAATTTAAGTCGGCCATATTTGAGGCCCATCGCGGTGTACCTAAGATTTTTGATATGCTCCTTCCTTAGTCTTCTTATTCAAAGATATTATCAAATAAATGATTATCAAAATGTTTTTCAAACTATAATTTGTTATATGTGTTTTAATTAGACAATTCCTTTTGTTTGTGGCCCTAAAAATATAATGTAAGTCTTTTATTTTTGCTTTCATTTAAGTACCTATTTATCATATTTACTCCATTTACAAAACTTTGGGCGTATTATGTTGGTCTTATTTTATTATAATAAACGATGTTTAAATATTTGACTTATAAATGAAAACTTTAAATAATAAATAATATTTCACATGTTTGGCTTTAATTTTATTTAATAATCGTATAAATTATACTGTTAAATCTTATTTTTTACACATCACAACGATACTTGTTATTAGTATTGTTGAATTTGTGTAAAAAAATAAGATTTAATAATCAAATTTAATTATTTTAGAGTAAAATTCAATAAATAAGCTCATTTAAAAAGCCCGCGCTTCGACCCATTTAAAACAAGCCCTACTCAATAGATGGCGCCACTTCTGTAGGACCATTTTTCAGTATGGCAGAGTCCATTCTTTTTCTAGCTAGGTATATACTTTGGTATCACATTTTCAGATAACTATCATCACCCTTTCCGTAGCATTGAGCTAAGATTGAGCTAAATAAATTTTGTGCTTCTTTAACGTTTTAAAACAAAAAAATATTACGTTAATTAAAATTCTATGAATAACAATCTATCAAAGAATGAAAACATTATCATTTTTCATATTTCCATGTTTTTCTTAATTTTCTCTAAAACTTGAAAAAGCTAAAAAAACTATGGAAATTTAGAAAAGTATAAACGGGATTAACCATTTTAGAACAAGCAAAAATTTTATGGAGAATGCATTTTTCTCAAAATTTCAACAATAAAAAAGTTTTTCATCTTATAAATCGTCTTCTAAAGGCAATCCGGGTATATACTGTAGAGAAGATATTTTGTCAAGACTTACAAAAGCTTAAATGAAGCTTAAAAAATACTAAAGAAAAATAATTATTTATCGTAACTTCAAAAATTAACCCCTTTGTCAGCGCTTACGCTACAGCGGTAGTACTAGCAGACTATTAAAATCAAGAACCACCCCAAAAAACTTACTTTGAATGCCATGCTTGTGCCGGTATGACTTTGGTTGATACAAAACTGAAAACTGATGCCATCGTTTTAATTTCCTCCATTTTTATACTTATCGATGAGGGGGCTTCGATATATTCGCCAAAGAACCAGATCTCAACCCGCACCAAGACGAGGTAACTATACCATTTCAACCCAGCAACCATACACATCCCTGTCTCTCTCTTTATCTCGCTGGATGGTACTTTCCCTTTCTTTTGCTCCTCGACTTTTACTCGCCGAAATCGACCGGTACGCGGGGTTACGTAAGTCGTACCAGCCGGCTGTTTCTGGGTTAAGGTCTGGGTTAGGGCGTGGTAGGTGTACCACTTGAAATTCGAGCAATTGTTAATATGTAAACGGTTCGGTCTTATGTAAGGCTTTACGCGTGTTAATCGGAATTCTAGAAGATTTAGATATGCTGAATTTGTAATAATTTATCGATTAGCATCTTTTAACGTTTGGTTGTTTGGAGTTTTGCACTGATTTGATTTAATGGTGTGATGAAATGAATGGTTTAAATAGGTGTTGAGTGGTTCTTTGTAGATACCTTTAAATGTATCTAATTAACAGCAGTATAATTTTTGTACACCTTGTGTATTTAATTTTTTTTATTAAACTTTTACAATAACCGATTAGATATAAGATACTATACATTGTAAATAAACATACAGGGTGGCAATGAGAACGACAGCTTAACTGAAAGCATTTTGTAAAAATATATAGATTTCTACAGGGTGTCCCCAAAAAAAGTTACACATCAAAGTTGTGTTTTTTTTATTGAAACACCCTATATATTAATTGATTTTTCGATTCTAGGAAAAAAATAATGATGAGTTTTATTAAAGAAGCATATACCTAAAAAGTAAGGATTTTGACATATTTCACATTTTGTGAATATGAGTAAATTTTAAATTTCGATAACTGCTACCTAAATTTTAGTTGACCTTGCCTGATATTTAATTACAGTGGTTGTAAGTTAAACCAAATTAAAATTTGACCCGAAAAGTTATACAGGGTGAGACAAAATTAATATGGAACATTAGTCATTTTTAAATGCAAGTTACTCCTTTATTTTGAATGGAACACTCATTATATTATTCCGGTGTTCAATGGGGAATTCATATATCTTCAAAATATTATTGGTTGTCTACCCCTCAGATAAAGGTTTTCCTAGATATTTTAATTTTTATAATTTTACGTCAGTAGATCTTTATTATTTAAAAAAATCTAGAGAGCCTGTTATACCTAGCCTAGGGGGCCTATACTGAGCCTAAGGGGGATGTTATACCTTTTGTTAATTTAACAAAAATTAAAGGAAGTAGAGTAAAATACTCAACGCTAATTAAAAAATACACGTTTAAAACATATTTTAATTATTACAGAATTAAAACTAGATATAAACCTATAATTATGTGACAAAAATTAGCTAGATGAAATCGAATGCTCAAAATGCTTCCTTTCCTGTTAACTGCATAAAATGATTGTACTAAACTAGATAAAATCAGGAGCACTTAAGCATTCTATTAATTGGTGAATGCACACTGCATTCGCCAACTAATAAAATCATATCAATTCTTTCTGATGTAGGATAAGTTTGCATATTCCGCAAATTTCTGAGAATTTTTTTTTGTTTTAACTGACACAAAATGATAACTATAGTTGTTAAAGTTGGACAAATTAGACAGCTATGTTGAAGTAACGTCAGACATATCACAGCCACCTAGATTTTATCAAATAATGAAGATCTACTGAGACTAAATCAGATAAATAAAAAAATCTAGTAAAATCTTTGTTTGAGGGGTGGACAACCTTAATAGTATTTTGAAGAGACATGAATTCCCCATTAAATATCGGAATAACATACTGGGTGTTCCATTTAAAATAAAAGAGTAACTTGCTTTTAAAGGTGGGCAGTGTTCAATATTAATTTTGTCTCGCCCTGTAAACTTTTTTGGATAAAGTTTTAATTTGATTTAAAGTACAATAGTTAATTTAACTACATATTAGGCTATACCAGGTAAATTCCAATTTAGGTAGCTTTTATTGTAATTTAAGAATAATTGTTCTTTATTTTGAGAAAATGTTAAATATGTCAAAAATCTTACATTTTAGTCATATATATCATTATAGTTATACTCTTATAAAACTCATCTTTAATTTTTCTCCCAGAATCCGAAAATGAATTAATATACATATAGTGTTTTCCGTTACAAAAAACAAAACTTTTATATATTTTTTGGGGGGACACCCTGTAGAACTCTCTATTTTTTAAAAAAGCGCTCTGAATTAACCTACATATGCTCACAAAATTTCATTTGAATACAAATTGTTGTTCTTGGAGCCTCTACGTCGTATGAGAGGCGCCACCCTGTACAGGGTGTCCCACTAAGAATAGCTCTCGGCTGTATCTCGGAAAGTATTAGCCGTAGCGGCTGCGGAAAAAATATTTATAACTAAAGAGGCTATGGGAAATTGCTGGAAATTATTTTCAAGTTTGTAGAACGACCGCTAGGGGGCGCAACTGCAACAAAAAATAAGAAAATGGAGTTTTTACACAATTTTGCCTAGATAAGGTGTACTATAAGTAACAGCTTCATAATCTTCAATAAATTTTGAATATTTTTTGTTAGAGCCATTTTCCCCTATCTACCAAAATAAAGTAATGGGGGAAGGTTAGATCTCTTTTTATTTGAATATTAATAACTCTGGACTGGATGATCGGAATCCAACAAACGAGGGCTCGTTTAAAAGAGCGTTTCTTACTCTATATTTTACCATATAAACAATAATAATAAGCTTTTGAAAGTAGACGGTAGGGGGCGTTGTCTTACAATTTAACAAACATTGCGCGTTTTTTCAAAAAAATTAAATGCAATAGTGTTATGTAATTTTAGCTGATAGTAAAGAGTAGTAAAAGCTTAAAAAGTCAGCGAAAACCGCATCTTGATATCTTCTTTCAAACCGAAGATATTAGCAAAATTATAAAAAATACCAAAAAATAAGCCCTCAATTACCTTATTTTGACAACACGGTATCAGTAGTAGCCCTCTTGATTATGCCCATTCTAACCTAAAAATAAGATAGAAACAGTTAGTTTATTTTAAAATCGACGATAAACCAGAATATGTATAGATGTATTAATATCTAATAATTAAGATATTAATAATAGTAAACAAGAAATGATGATTCAGTGAAGTCATGGCAGGCTTTGGAAAAAAGTTGCTTTTGACGTAATAGTATAAACGTCAAATTGTTATTAGATCAACATTTTGATAGTCTTAGCAGCGTTTTTTATCTTTTGATTGCTTTTTCAAAATGCCAACAACTTCAACTACTTCAAATAATAAAGGCATCAGACGGATCTGACGGATCGGACGGAACGGGCGGATCGGACGGAACGGACAGAACGGACGGATCGGACAGAACGGACAGAACGAACGGAACGGACGGATCGGACACAACTGATGTTTTTTTAAATTGTAAGAAAGTGCCCTATAGCGTCTACGTTCAAACCTTATTATTATTATTTTTATGGTATAATATATTTAAACGAGCCCTCGTTTGTTGGATTCTGATCGTCCACTCCGGAGTTATTAACATTTAAATAAAGATAGATCTAACATTCCCCCACCACTGTATTTTACCAGATAGGGGAAAATGGTTCTAACAAAAAAATATCCAAAATTTACTGAAGATTATGAAGCTATTATTTATAGTACCCATTATCTAGGCAAAATTCTGTAAAAATTCTATTTTCTTATTTTCCATAGCAGTTAGCGGCCGTTTTACAAACTTAAAAATAATTTCCAGCAATTTCTCATAGCCCCTTTAGTTATAAATTTATATATATATATATATATTTTTTTTTCCTTAAGCCCTACGGCTAATAGGTACTTTCCGAGATACAGCCGAGAGTTTTGTATTGAATATTTTTGAAGAAAAAATTGGTACACCACTGACTTCTCTTAAAATAAACATTATTTTCAAAATCTCCATTTATTTCTAAACAATTTTTATCTATTATTTTTTTTCGTCTGGTGCATATTTATTTCTTAAAAAAATTAAAGTAAGTTTTCTTCAGGGTCAAATCGCTGAAAATCTGATTCGGTGACTATTGTGTGCATTTCGTTTGTGCATCGGTTGCAACGAAATTAAGAAATAAAACCTTTTTTTGCATATCAAAATATGCATTTTGATGCATGCGAGACGTGTATCAAATATAACATAAGAGATATTTTGAAAAAAAAATTTACCACCCTGTATCTGAAAAGTTAAGATGTTTAGGATATACATTTATTTGAAGTTTTTTTCTCAAAATTGGTCCAAGAATCACCCCCTTAAATATGAGCATGTTATTAAGGAACACCCTGTATTATCGTTAACACAATAGAGATATTGTTTTTTACAGTTGGGGTGTGACACAACCAAAGGTTCCAATTTGGTGTTATTACAATAGCAAAATAAAACACTAATTCACCACAATATACCAAAACACTTTACTTTTTGCACTAGACGCACGTTTCGCTAACCATGTTAGCATCATCAGTAGATGATTAAAATTAGTAATGTTTATTTGGTGTATGGTGGTGGATTAGTGTTTTATTTTGCGATTATGTTTTTTAACAGAAAATTTAAAAATTTTCGAAACAAATTCCAAAATATACTTTTCAATCGTTGGCATGTTCCTGTTGAAGAAAATTCAACAAATTCTTGAATAGAACAAAATTTATAAGATTATTTATTTTCTTAAGAATACCTTTCAAAAATATTTTGCATATATTTAAACATTACATAAAATATATCATATATCCACCCATCGCTAGATCATATGCATATTATCTATTGTCTCTTAAAAAAGACAGACACATTGCAAAATACGAATTAAATTATTCTAAACACTTTCGATTAAATAATATTAGACCCGTTTATCTGCCATACAATTATTTAGATCAATTTTCAAATAAAATGACGACATTTCGAATGATTCCACTTTAAAAACTGGAGCAAATATTTCATCTTTAAATAAAATTTCAATAAAAAAAAATGGTATTTTATTCGTTTGGATCGGAACCTGTGAAG